AGATAGATAGATAGATAGATAGATAGATAGATAGATAGAAAAAAGAAAGAAAAAGAAAGAAAGAAAGAAAGAAAGAAAGAAAGAAAGAAAGAAAGAGCAAGCAAGCAAGCTTTATTGGCCAAGTGTGATTGGGACACAAGGAATTTGTCTTCTGTGCATAAACTCTGAGTGTGCATAAAGAAAAAATAAAATACACTCATCATAAGATGCAACACTTAGTAATACTCATAGGTTACTAATAAGTAATCAAATCATAATAAGAAACAAAACATAAGTTGTGAAGATAAAAGCAACATGGTTATAGTCATAAGTGGGAGGAGATAGGAATATGATGGATGAGAAGAAGAATAGTAATGCAGTCTTACTGAATAGTATGACAGTGTTGAGGGAATTATTTGTTTAGCAGAGGGATGGCATTTGGGGGAAAAGTGTCCTTGTGTCTAGTTCTGGTGTCCAGTGCCCTATAGCATCTTTTTTTTGGGGGGGGGGGTGTATTTTGTAATGTTTGTAAATCGGGGGTTGAATGGAGGGTGGTCTCTGAGATAGGTGGTTTTCTTGCAGACATTTCATGACCCAACTGGAGGACATCAGTGCTAGAAGGAAGGGGGTTTTGCTCTCTGTTTATACATTGTAACAACCTGTCATATTGGTGGGAGTGTCTTCTCCTTGGTATTTTCTTGATCAAGGTTTTCTCCTTTTCTACTGTGTTTTCGACTTGATTGTTTGCCTGGTACCAATAGAAAAGATTTGTATGAAATAATTGAAAAGAAGATTTGTAGCTCAGGGTTGAATTGTGGGGTCCTTGGTGCTCTCTGAGTTTGATGGTTTTGCATTGGGGAAATGTTAGCTTATTCAAAGGAAGTTAAAATACAAAATGCTGAAATATTTAAAAAAGAACAAAAGGAAAAAAGCAACAAAAAAGACATTAACAAGAAAAAGTCTCTTTAAAAGAAGAAGACTTAACTGTTAATCTTGGCTGTTTTCTTATAGACATTTCATGATCAAACAAGGCCACATTGTTGAAAGTGTTAGCTAGTTGGGCAATGAAACATCTGCAAGAAAACCAAGCTCTGAGAACACCAAGGGCCCCACAATCAGTGTTATAGCCTGAAATTTTAATTACTAGACCATATCAGTCTCACTTTAGAGATAGTTTGGACTAGGATCTCTGTTAGGGTTTGAGGATTAACCCCTAGAAGAGTATTGCAGCAGTAGT